GGTGTGTGGATGTGCATGTGTGCACGCATGCATGCATTTCAAAGTCCCAACTGTTTTCCCTCGTGGGACATTTTCTAACATTATCTGAAATAAGCACACACATAAAACATTGTGATTCCTCAGCCTCCATAATTCACACAATAGGTCAGTAGCAGGATCATCACTGCCTCCCCTCAATTTCCTAGCTCTAGTTTTCTCACACAAAACCATAAAAGGATTGCAGAGGCAGGACCAGAGGAAAAAAGGGCAGGAAGAGGCAAGGCCAGAGTAAGGAAGGAAGGAAAGAAGAGGGGGCTGTGGGCTGATATGCTTCTCATATTGAAACAATTATGAACAGTGAACTCCCAAATCAATCTGCAGCCCCTCTGTGAGCACTGACTGTGATTTCAGGCTACGAATCACATTGCAGCAAAGCTGAAATATTCCAATTCAGCTTTCTAATGTAGTCACACCCTGAGATTTACCAAACTGTTCATTAGAGATGGGGATATTTGTATACAAATAGCCCCCCCCCAGTGCAGACAACGAGGGTCCGGCCCCCTGGGGTCAGATTGTCCACTCATGATTTTGCTGCTGCCACAAACTCCACGGAGCCTTCCTATATCTCCATTGCTCACAATGGATTAGTCACTCTGCGACCTGGCAGAGAGGATCATCATCCCGTCTTCTGCCAGGACTGGCTAATCTATCACAAGCAACAGAGCAATAGGAAGGCTCCGTGGAGCTCGCGGCAGCAGTGATAACCCTCGTTATCTGCATCTGTGGGGGGATATTCGTATAAAAATACCCCCTTCTCTACTGTTCATCATTTGTCTTGTTAGTTTTATTCAATCAGTGTTGTGAAGCCTCAGATAAAATCAACAATGAGAACTAATACCACATGCATATTGTCATTGTTATGTCTCCCCTGTTCAATATGAATCATGAATTTTATGACATTTTATGTTATTTTGGCATAATGGGCACCACTTCCTGTCTCACTTTATTTGCTTCATTTTTTATCACTCCCTTGAGACTCAAACTGCAGCAACAGATCCCTGAAGTCAGCACCAGATTCCCTTTCAAAACAAAGCTGGACAAGCTGACTACTGCAGAAAGCATGCATCGGTTTGCCTTGCAAAAGCGAAACCATCTCTTGTTGTTATTTCGACTCGCATATCACCCCACAGTGCTAGAACACTCTCTGGGTGGTTTATAAAATAATTATGCAAACAACAACTTCTACTGTAACAAGTGTTACATTAGTATGAATACAAATGAAGGAACAGGTGATCCCTTTGTTGGACTGCTAAAAAACAAAAACATACAGCAAGCTTTCAATGATGAATTTGTTGAGTTTCAAAAAGAAGGCAGAAGGGGGAAACACAGGTGGGGGTGTCAGAGTGCTTGGTAGCTCTTTGTTTAACAAGTTGGGTGATAAATTCCAAACTACTGGTTTAGGAGGATTTTGAAACCACACTCTCTCCCCAAAGGCCTCTTGCAGATGGCAACTATCTCCATCTAAGAAGCTAAGCCTGGCCCCATCAACGGTCATGAGACTTTGAGACTTTAACAAAAGCATACAATTTTGGAACTACCCATAAGAACTTGGTGCCGAGGAATATGAATTATCATGGCTGTGTAGTTTTTCTTATTATTATTATTATTTTCGTGGTCCAATGAAAGCACCACCTGTTCCTGCATTGGTATAGTTTTGGGGGCCACGTGGCCTTTTCCCGATCTTTTCTGAACATTCATAAGAATATACACCATGAAATGCTCCAGTTACATAAAGAAAGAGCCATTGCTCGCAGTGGAGATCAAAAGAAAGGGATGGTTCACACTGAAGAGTAACTGGCTTACTTCTGTTCTCGTTACCTTAAAGTTGGATGGGTAACGTCAGCAGGTCTAAGGGAGAACTTAATCTCAAGAATCCATAGTGGGCTCACACCCTCACAATCAAAACTGGAGAGCAATGCATATGTGTGATTTTTTTTCACTCTTTAAAGAAAGCATTTGCTTGCTTCAAATAAATTTTACCAATCTGCCACTGAGTTTTGTCAATAAACCGTTACTATGCATTTAATGCAAGCAAAATGTTTACTCGAAATGAAGGAAAGTTTCCAACTTGTGGCAGGGTTTGCCATTAAAATCTGGTAGCACAGTTGAGGGGCAGCCCATGAGCCACATGATTCCCACTTCTGTCCCAAAACAATCTGCCCTGACCAACAGGTATTCTGAAGAGTGGAGAAACAAATGTCTGGGAACATCATAGAATGAAACTGTACTTTCTTAATTCATAAACTGTGGGAATCTGATGGGCAGAACACTCTGAAGCTCAGCATTAGTCTTGTACTGTACTGACATAGTTTGCAACAATCGTATTTTAGATTATTTTGTACCACTTTTCATCCCTAACAAAAGCCCCTCAAAAGGCTCACATAACAGCAAAATCAAATTGCCAAAATTAAAACTGAAACCTTAAAAATCACTAGGATCAAATTTAAAGCCTTAAATTGTATCTTAAAAACGAGGTGGCTGAATAATGTTTCATTGGTCCCATTAACACTATCAGGGATGATGCCAGGGCCATTTTTAAAACAAGGGAACAAACACAAAAAAGATCCTGTTTCACAATCCCACAAAATAAGCCCCTTCTAGAGATGGGACATATGACAGGGCCTCTGAAAACTGTCTCAAACAGTTGATGGTATTCTACCCAAGAGGTAGCTGAAGAGTCTTGTGACACTTTAACAACTGTTTGCCACAAACTTTGTGAACTCACATCTGGTGAGGTAAAATGTAATCCACAAAAGTGGCTGCCATACATAACATCTAAGCCTTTAATATGCCTTGAGTCTTTATTAACAGAATCCAAAATAAAAGCTTTGTCTTCCCCTATTTAATTTGATTAACTTTACCAGAGAAAAGAGAACAACCATATACCATGTTCCCCCCAAAATAAGACAGGATCTTATATTAATTTTTGCTCTGAAAAATGCATTAGGGCTTATTTTCAGGGGATGTTTTATTTTTCCCATGTACAGTGGTGCCTCGCATTGCGACGTTAATTCGTTCTGCAAAAATCACTGCAGAACGAAAACGTCGCAATGCGAAATAAAAAAGCCCATAGAAACGCACTGAAAACCCTTCAATGCGTTCCTATGGGCTGGAAACTCACTGTTCAGCGAAGATCCTCCATAGCGCGGCCATTTCTGGTGCCTCTTAAGCGAGGAATCTGTCCCAGAAAACAGCGGGTGGCCATTTTGTTTACCCAGCCGCCATTTTGAAACTGCCGATCAGCTGTTTTAAAATCATCGCTTTGCAATGCTCCCTGCCCTGAAGCAGGGAACCGATCATCGCAAAGCGAAATTCCCCCATAGGGAACATCGCAAAGCGATCACTTTTGCAATCGCAAAAAATGTGTCGCAAAGCGATTTCATCGCTAAATGGAGTGATCGCTATGAGAGGCACCACTGTACAACCATCTACATTTATTCAAATACAGTCATGTCACCTTCTTCTGGTTGTTGCACAATGGTGGAGGGCGGGGCTTCACTTAACAGGGCTTATTTTTTAGGTAGCGCTTATGAGCATCCTGAAAAATCATACTAGGGCTTATTTTCAGGTTAGGTCTTATTTTCGGGAAACCAGGGTACATGTAATCAACTTTAAAAGGGACAGTTCTGGGTTGTGCATCACTCATCAGTGATCTAAGCAAATTAGAGAAGCATAAAATCCGTTGATATTAAGGCTTGCTCTCTGTGAAGAGAGAGAACTGAAGAGAAAGCAAACATTTATACTCTCATTTGCTAATCTTCTGACAAAAGAAATGTCAGGGCTTCCACAAACACACAAAACTATGTTTTCAACACTATTAGCATTCACCTGTTCATGGTATTAAACAGGTGGCTTAAAGTCACACCCTTCCTTTATTGCCTAGGCACAGGCAGTCTCAAGCTCTTCCCAAGCACAAAACAATGGCAAGGAGAAATGAATCATTCCTATTGAGGAGAAATAAATAGCTCTCTTTCTGTTAAATGGCTATGCCAGAGTGCTTTGAAATTTATTATGGATCATAGGCAGTTTGTTATGTAGTCTGAAAGAGGTCATTAAAGCCTGGTGGGTCTTTTGCTTACAAGTTAAGAGTACTGCTGTGTTGTTGTTTTCTCCTTTGCGCAGGAGAAAAAGCCTGTCAGACAAAGAGTAAGCCACATGAGAAGAAGCTTAGCTTTACTCTGTACATGCAGAAAAAAACACACTAAAGCTGTCAATATAAATGATGCACTACAATGGTGCAGCAGTGTGATCTACTTATCAGTAAGTCTCATCTCCTATGATCTCACTAAGCATCCTTGGGAAAGATATTCACTCTTAACTTCAGTATCCCTAACTGAAATATGCGCAAAAATAATATTGGCTCACATTACAGGAATGCAATAAGGATTGCTACTAGGTGATACATATCATAGTTCTGAACACGTGAAATATTATACAAGCCTTAAAATTATTATTTTTAATATCATTCATTGTTCTGATTATTAGGCTAACTGAATATTGACAGATTAAGAGAAGCTGAATAGTAAGTGATTTATTTTGACAGTTAAAAAAAGTTCATTTGTTCTGATTATTAGGCTAACTGAATATTCTGACAGATTAAGAGAAGTTGAATAGTAAGTGATTTCTTTTGACAGTTCATTCTCCTTCCCCAAACAATATGGCAAAAGGGAGAAATTTCACTTTATTTTGTCATCAGTATTCACAGACATGAAAGCATTAACTTCCAACAGGCTATAGAGGATCACAAACATCCAACTACATTTTTCTATCTAAGCTGATGGTGTCTGAGAAAATAAAACTAGAAACTCTTACTAGAAATTCTTAATGTTCTGAATCAATAGCCAATTTCTGTGCTCCTGAAGTAATATTATATTTAATAACTGAGACAGATGTATTTGAATCAAAGCCGCACATGTTTTCAGCATATTCAGTAACTAAGTGGATTATCAATTTGGTCATACCTTTCCTGCATCAACAAGTTCAGTTATATCATCCAGAGAAGGACCACTTGAACTGAATAGAGCCCAATGGTAATGGATTCCTGTACAAAGATGCTGGAATAAAAATCAGATACAAACATAGCAAAGTCAGCCTTGAAAAGTGGGTGAGAAGGACTAATGTCCCACAAGACTAGACAGTGGCTGTCTACATATGTCAATGACAGAAATGGGGAAAATGGTTTTCTTACCATACCTTTATTGTTTTTGCACCAATGGTCAATCCACTCCGAAGCATGCCATCTGCTACACCAAGCCTGTCTACATTCACTAAGAAGGGAGTCACCAAAGTTACATATTTGGCCCCCGACCACTTCTTGAGGAGACTGGGAGCCCATTGTTCAGTGGATCCACCAACGCTGTCTAGGATAAAATCAAACCTGGATGGAAAAATAAACAGTGAATGTATGGCTAAGAAAGTGCAATCACAATAGGCTCCAAAATTAATTTTTAAATCTGAAAACAAATTTTAAAACAAAATATAGATACAAAGGGCAGCAGTGCATTCAAGACACTGCAGTTTAGATCAAGTACTAGAATTGATCTCCTGTCAGTATGAGCAAACCACAGTCCTATCAACGTGAATGGGGTGAGCTACTGAACTATAGTGACAAGCTGATCAGATGAAATATTCTGTCTAGTAAAGGGAACAAAATCTACACTGTTGAGGATAACTAGCACTAAGAAGAGCAAATCCTCTGGAAGATCAGTGTGATGTAGTGCTTAGAGTGTTGAAATAAGTCTCAGGAGAACTGGGCTCAAATCTGTTCAGCCCAACCATGAAACACAATGGGGGATTTTGAACGAGTCACTGTCTTTCAGCCTGACCTACCTCACAGAGCTCGAGTGTTGAAATAAGTCTCAGGAGAACTGGCTCAAATCTGTTCACCCCAACCATGAAACGCAGTGGGGGATTTCGAACTAGTCACTATCTTTCAGCCTGACCTACCTCACAGAGCTACAGGGAGGATTGAGTGGGCCACCTTGGCCTCAGTGAAGGAAAGTCAGGATATAAATGCTATTTAACAAAATATGCTTTGTTTATTGTTATTTATTTGCATTTCCCCAGATAAGCAACTAGATATGCAAAATCTCCAACAGTAGGAAAATTCTGAGGGAGCGTGTGAGACAAGGGACCCTCGTAAGAAAGCCCTTTTTACACAACAGGCTGATTTTTCAGAAACATTTTTTCAAAAAATGAACTGCTGGATAGCTCAGTGGTTTAGGCATCTGGCTGTGGAGCCAGAGGTTGGGAGTTTGATACCCTGCTATGTGCTATACCTTTTTGACAAGGGCTGGGCTCCGTGATCCACAGAGTCTCTTCCAGCTCTGTAGTAGTAGCAGTAAATTGTGAAGGTTCTGGGTTCCAGCTTCAAAGCAAGACTTTTTTGTGTAATAATTGTTCAGTGCAGAGATTTAAAAGGGATTCTCTATACCCTGAGACCTAACCTGAAAATAAGCCCTAGTATGAATTTTCAGGATGCTCATAATATAAGCCCTACCCCCCAAATAAGCCCCCATTAAGTGAAGCCCCACCCTCCATCATTGTGCAGCATAGTGCAGCAACCAGAAGATGACATGACTGTAAAATAAAACATCCCCTGAAAATAAGCTCTAATGCAGTTTTTAGAGAAAAAATTAATATGACCCTGTCTTATTTTCAGGGAAACACAGTAGTTAGCAACCGTGTCTCTGACTGCAGTCTACATGTGCAAATGCTTTATCTTCAACCCAGAATTGTTCTGTTCTACAGAGCAGTTAATTAAAATCCCAGCTTTCCAATACAACAATCAGATACAGGCAACCTGTCCAAACCAGCCCAAAATTAACTGGCTGTCTTGGGTCTGAAAAGTTCTATCACATGCTGCTGGCATAATTTAACTACATTGATACATACGGTGGTAATCTTTTGAGCTGTGCTTTCATACTTCCAGACTTGTAATCAATCACATCATCAGCTCCAAGACGTTTCACCAGTTCACTGGCATCCTGAGAACAGACTGCAGTCACGTGAGCACCCCAAGCCTTCAGTAACTGAAAAAGATCAGGACAGAAACAGTCAAGCAAAGAGCAGCTGCTCAGACATTTTGCCTACAAATCCCACAAAGCACCTCCCTTCCAACGGTCATCAAAGAGAGTCTTTTGAGATGAAAAAAAAAATCATACCACTGTTTGTAGCAATTTGGGGTCAAAAATATGAAGTGTTTTTTCTAAATCAGAACAACCATCCATTTAGTTCTGCACCTAGTTCAAACTGTAGCTCATTGTGTGCTTTCTTCAAGAGGCCCAAAGTCAGTAACATTCACTTTCTCCCCGCTAGCCCATTTGAGCAGGGAAGTCCTAGCTGCCTTGGACATTTTTAAGGAGAAAGGCAGAAAATTTTAAATAAATAAATAAATCACCCATGATAACCAGGGTAAAGCAAGTAGAGCTAGGGGTATTTATATTTATATACAAATACAGTATGAATACCCCCGCACAGATGGCGATAACGAGAGTCTGGCACCAGGGGTGATTATGGTGTATTTGCAGGCTGCAAAAAGGTTAATGAACTCTACCCAGCCACAAGGACCAATGATTACTGCACACAAAAGACTAGCTAACGACACCCACCCATCAATCACAGTGGCAGATCATCTCCCCCCCCCCTTATCACAACGATACACCCATAACAAAAACACGCTGATCACCAGTCACCCAATCTCTTGAAAAGGACAACAAATGGATCCCACAGCTACAAATACTCAACTATCCCACTGACTACACCAGAACACAGAGTTCTAACTCCTGACCTCTGAAGATGCCAGCCAGAGTCTGGCAAAATGTTAGGAAGAGAAACCTCAAGAACACGGCCAAACAGCCCGAAAAACCTACAACAACAATCAAATAATGTCTTACTTGCCTCAGCTATATAAACACAATACACAGAACCTCTCATCCACAAATAATCAAAATAAATCAGCAGCAAAACAAAATGGCCTGTTACAGATCTCTTTCCAGTAAGTTGTTGTTTTCAGAAACCACTATCATTTCTCTACTATTTCCTTTTAACATTTGCTGGCTGTAAACATAATAACCCATACAAAGTATTCATATAGCATTCTGCTAACTATACACACAATTTCCCAACAACTCTTACAACAATCCAGTAAAACAGGTCAGTGTTATTGCAGTGACTTGACTCAGGAGTTGATGTATGAGCTGAACTGAGCTGAGAAGTTCCTGCCTCACAACTCCTTACAGCATCACAGGCATGACAATCAGACAATCATGATATGCAAATGACAATTGTTGTTACACCTCTAACTTATGGCAACCATATGAATGAGTGGTCTCCAAAATGTTCTGTCCTCAACAGCCCTGCTCAGCTCTTGTAAAACTAAGCTTGTGGCTTCCTTTAAGGAGTCAATCCATCCCATAATTTGCCCCGCCTATTTTCCTGCTGCCCTCAAGTTTTCACAGCATTGCTTTTTTCCAGTGAATGCTGCCTTCTCATGATGTGTCCAAAGTAGAACTATCTCAGCTTCATCATTTTTGCCTCCAGAGATGCCCTGTTTCCCCCAAAATAAGACAGGGTTTTATATTAATTTTTTGCTCCAAAAATGCATTAGGGCTTATTTTCAGAGGACGTTTTATTTTTGTCATGTACAACCATCTACATTTATTCAAATTCAGTCATGTCATCTTCTGGTTGCTGCACAGTGGTGGATTTCACTGGGATTTCACTTAACTAGGGCTTATTTTTGGAGTAGGACTTATATTATGAGCATCCTGAAAAATCATAATAGGGCTTATTTTCAGGTTAGATCTTATTTTAGGGGGAACAGGGTAGTTCTGGTTTGATTTGATCTAGGACCCACTGGTTCATCTTTCTTTTCAGGATATCCACAAATTTCTCCTCCAGTATCATATTTCAAATGAATCATTTTTTCCTCCAGTCAGCTTTCTTAACTGTCCAGCTTTCATATCTGTACATGGTGATTGGGAATAAAAGAGTGGGGATGGTCTTGTTCTTGGTCTCTGGAGAGATATTCCTACATTTGATTATATTTTCTAATTCCTTCATTGCTGCTCTTCCACTTCTACTGATTTCTTAGCTGCAGTCTCCATTTGGACAGACTGAACTAAAACACACAAAATCTCTGTTTCAGTTTCTTCTACACACTAATGTTGTGTAGTTCTTCTGTAGATATTTTTGTCTTTTTATGTTCAACTGTAATCTTGCTTTGGCCCTTTCTTCTTTCACTTTCAAGTCATTGCTACTTCTACCAATAAGATGGTGTCAGCTGCATGTCTTAAATTATTGATATTTCTTCCACCAATTTTTATGCCTCTTTCCTCTGAATCTTATCCATCTTTCGATATGTTAAGTTCTGCATATAGACTGAACAGACAGGGAGATAAAATACACCTTTATCTGACAATTTTGCCTATAGGAAAGCATTTTGTCTCTCCATATTTTGTTCTAACAGTAGCTTCTTGTCCACAATACAAGTAATACATCAGGACTACAAAGTGCTAAGGCACACCCATTTCTTTCAGTACAACCCATAGCTTCTCATGATCCACAGTCGAAGGCTTTGCTGTAGCCTATAAAGCACAGACTGATCTTCTGAAATTCTTTGGTGCAGTCAGATAGCAAGTAGATATTTACAATATGAACTTGATGCCTCTTCCTTTTTTGAATCCAGCAGAGCTACTACTCTGGGCGGCTAACAAAGGAACATCAAAATAACATAATAATAGAAATAAGCAAACAGCAAAAAATAAAAAAAAATCCTGAGAATATAAGGTAAAAGTCTTTGTTGCAATATCTTGAGCATCATGGCTGTTGTGGGTTTTTCAGACTCTTTGGCCGTGTTCTGAAGTTTGTTCCCCTAACGTTTCGCCAGTCTCTGTGGCCAGCATCTTCAGAGGACAGCACTCTGTGCTCTGGTGTAGTTGGCTTGGGAGTGGAGTATTTATGGCTGTGAGATGGGCTTTTGTCTTTTCTGTAGATGGGTGATTAGTGTGTCTTGTTGTGGGTGTACTGTTATGATAAGAAGGAGAGATTATCTGTCACTGTGGTTGATGGGTGTCATTAGCTGGTCTTTTATGTGTAGTGATCCCTGTCATTGTGGCTGGGTAGAGTTCGTTGAACTTTTGCACGCTGTATTTTTGAGAGCTGGGAGCCAAATTTGTTGTTTCAAACTTTCCTCTTTTTTGTTGAAGGTCTGCTGGTGCTTGTGGATTTCAATGGCTTCCCTGTGCAGTCTGACGTAATGACTGCTGGTGTTGTCCAGTATTTCGGTATTTTGAAAAAGGATTTCATGTCCAGTTTGTTTTAGGGCATGTTCAGCTATTGCAGATTTTTCTGGTTGTTCTAGTCTGCAGTGTCTCTCATGTTCTTTGATTCTGGTGTGGATGCTGTGTTTTGTGGTTCCAATATATATCTGGCCACAACTGCAAGGTATCCGGTATACTCCTGCAGTGGTGAGGGGGTCCCTTCTGTCCTTTGCTGACCGTAACATTTGTTGTATTTTTGTGGTGGGCTTGAATACTGTTTGTAGGTTGTATTTTTTCAAGTTTCCCCATGCAGTCCGTGCCCCTTTGATGTATGGCAGAAATACTTTATTTGTGGGTGACTGTTTTTCTTCTTCAGTTCAGTGTTGTTTTCTTGGTTTGATGGCTCTTGTAATTTCATTTTTGGAGTAGCCATTTGCCTGTAGGGCCCAATTCCTACATCAAAGACTCAGGACATTTCATAAGCAAGATCAGCACCCTAAAACTCAACCCTGTTGTGTCCAGGTATATATTGGAACCACAAAACGAAGCATCCACACCAGAATCAAAGAACATGAGAGACACTATTCATATGGCATAATCCTGTATGTGAATACTTAGAAGACCCTCTGAGTTAAATCAGACTTAATCCAAGATAGAAGTGTGTAAACTTGCAGTTTAAGTCGCTCATTTCACTCCAGTGAGCCTCTAAATCATCAACTGAAATACCACCAGTCACAAATTTACCTGTATTACAAAGGTACCAACTCCACCTGCTGCACCAAAGATCAATACTCTATAAATAAAACAAAACAAAAATCCTGGTTATGAGCCAATCGTGATGATGATAGATAACATTTATATCCTACCATCGTACAACATAGTGCTCAACGTGGTTTACAGCACTGGTTCTTAACCTTGGGTTACTCAGGAGTTTTGGACTGCAACTCTCAGAAGCCTTCACCACCAGCTGTCCTGACTGGGGTTTCTGGGAGTTGCAGTTCAAAAGCATCCGAGTAACAAAGGTTAAGAACCACTGGTTTACAGTACTCATAAAACGATAAAAGAAAGAAAAAAACTAATCATAAAACCAGTTAAAATCAAACAAAAGCAACCCTACCATGAAATACATTGAAATTAATTATGTATAAACACAGTCAAAAATATCACAGTAGATTAGACATTACACATCATTTTAAACAGATGTGCTCCAACACTTTTTGTAAAAACAATGAGAATGGAAACTGACTAAAATTTTGAAGGAACGCTGTTCCGGAGGCTGAGAACCCTGCAGGGAAAACCCCTTCCTATGTGCCTGTTAGTCAGGCCTCTGCAACTGTTGGCATTCTTAAGAAGGCCTATCCTGCAGATCTTAACATTTGAACAAGCTCACAAGACAGGGAGCCCCTCTGATAGCCAGGCCCGAAGCCGTTTAGGGCTTTAAAGGTTAAAACCAACACCTTGAACTGGGGTGGGTAAGCAACTGGAAACCAGTGAAGGTCTTTCTGTTTCAGGGTCACATGACTGTGATACTTACTGGGCAATAGCATATAGCAGTGGTTCTTAACCTTGGGTGACTCAGGTGTTTTTGAACTGCAACTCCCAGAAACCCCAGCCAGCACAGCTTCTGGGAGCTGCAGTCCAAAAACACTTGTGTAACCCAAGGTTAAGAACCACTGGCATATAAGACTAAATCCTCACAGGTGTGTTTGGTGGGGACACAGGAGAGGGCATTCTCTGTTGCTGCTTCGAGATTCTGGAACTCCTTCCCACAGGAAGCCAGGCTGGCCCCATCTTTGCTGTCCTTCCACAAGCAGGCAAATAACTTTTATTTCAGGCAAGCTTTCCCTTAATTATTAGCTGCCTGGGTGGAGTTCTATGTGGTGTAGAAATTTTTTAAAAAATAAATAAAATATTTTTTTTAAACCAGCAATCAATCAAAGTTTATTCTGATGAAGTCCTCATGGTGCAGATTTGTTTCTGAATAGTTTTATCAAAGCACCAATGTATCGGAATGAAAAGATAAACTGCAGGTGACTTAACCCAGACAGACAGGCGAGGGCAACATTGCAGAATTCTCAGTAAAAGGCAAATCTTACAGAATACCTCTAAGCCAGGGGATAAAATACAAGCTAGCTAACAACAGTAGTATCTAATCATCATGAGCTATCAAGTCAAGTCAATTCTGACTTATGACAATCTGTTTTTTCCAGGTAGAGAATAGTCACAAATGGTTTACAATTCCCTTCTTCTGGGCTCATCCTGGAATTGTGTAACTTGCCCAAGACTACATAGCCTGACTCTTATCCTAGCAGGCACAGTGGGGAAATCAAATTCCCAAACAGATACCAAAACCACTGAGATAACCAGCCGGCTAATAGTATTGAAAACCAAAGTATATACTTGCATTCCTTAGGACATGAATTCATCACAGCCTTCCTCTGCCTAGAAACAGAGGTCAGGAACAAAGAACTCACATGCTCTAAAGAGATACACTAGCCTTTTGCAATTTGTTTCTGAAAGACTCAGTGCAAAAACAGGAACTCAAGTTCTGTAGTTCCTGGTACAGAAGACATTGACAGCACATGGCTAATGGAAATGTAAACAATGAACAACTTGGAAAAACACTGCAAAAAATATAACAATGAATTTTTTATTTCACTGCGTAATCTTCTTAAGCCTGATGGAGCAGGATATATTAACATTTTAACAAGCTGATTTTATTATTACAATTCTTTCACCAAAATTACAATGAACAAAATCCAGTGCATCTCAAGATGCCATGTTACTAAACCTGCACCTACAGAGGTTTACTACATAATGGAGAAACTTGCCTATCTTGAGTACAGTAAACAGAAAGTTTGAACCTCTCACTCTAAAAAAATCTCACCCCTGATCTTTTTACATCACTGAGGGTCACTCACCTTTTATTGCTACAATTATTCTGATTTAGACCCCCAACCTCTTTCACTGCAGACCATGCTGTCAGACCAACATAAGGCATAGAAGCAGCTTCAATGTGACTGAGATTCCTGGGCTTTCTGGATACCTATATTGAAAGAAAGAACACATTCATTTATATTCAAAAAGGCAAAATACTCATCTCCTGCCCTGCAAGATAAATGTTAATTTCAACACCTGAAGTTTGTCATGACTACAAGCTTAAACGCTAGGGGAAAGGATTGTACTGTGCATACTTTTTCCTACACAGGTGTAAATATTGTTTTACACATGCGTAAAAAATAGTCATATGCAATGTTGTTTACAGATATGAATAAATATTCATAAAAACTGAATATTAGTCAGATAAGGTGGGGGGAATAATTCATTTGAAATATGGTGTTGTAGCAGAGCTTTGCAGATACCATGGACCACTAGAAAAACAAGTAAGTGGATATTACAACAACTAAAGCTCAAACTTTCTTTAGATGCAGAAGTTATTAACTAAGGGTATCATACTTCGGGCACATCACAAGAGAAAGTCAGTGGAAAAGACAACAATACTACAGAAATATGAAGGCAGCAGAAAAAGAGGACATAGGAAACAGGAGATGGGCAGATCCAACAAAGGAAGTCCCACCATTGAGTCTGCAGAGGTGAAGCAGAACTGCGACTGACAAAAGCCTCTTGAAGTTACTAAATCACAGGGGCGCCAGAAGTAGGAAGCAACGTGATGGCAGGTAACATTAACCTACTTGTCACCTTGGGGCCTGCTACAATTAGAATTAATAGGGAGTAATTGTGCCCTTTTTCCTTCACACTGCTGCACAACACTACACTGTAAGTATGGCAATCAAGCCTAGAAACATACTTCAGTCTATGACACTTGTCAGTTCTATTCTACTGTACCTCTAACTCCCAGTCCTGAGGTCCTAGTGCAGTGCTTTATTTACCTGGCTGAGAAAATTAAGGCTGTGCTCATTCGACTGTCATCCCTTGTTCTTTCCTCCCTTCATCACTCTTCCAAGGTTAAAAAGCAGTCAAGGAAAGAAAGTTTTGCTCTAAAATGCTGTAAAATGTTATATACATTGTACAAAAGTTCATATTTTCTTAGTTTTTGCATGCATGTGCATGTTATCTCAAAGCAAACATTTTGTGTTATTACCTCATTGGAACTTGCTACAACAAATTCTGCTAAAGTTCCTTGCTTCCAAGGTGAAATTGCTGCCCATACCTGAAAAGCAGAGATTACAGTTCAAATATTTAGCGATGCAAGCACAGCAGGTAGCATTTTGGCAAAGAATTCAATTTTACAGGATCCAGAAGATCATTTACTTAAGAAAAGGAGAAATTCATTGCACATTTCTTTTTCTATCTACTTTTTCCCATACTGTAAAGGTAAAGGTTCCCCTTGACAATTTTTGTCCAGTCGTGTTCAACTCTAGGGGGCTGTGCTCATCCCCGTTTCCAAGCCATAGAGCTAGCGTTTTTTTTTCCAAAGACAATCTTCCGTGGTCACATGGCCAGTGCGACTTAGACACGGAACGCTGTTACCTTCCCACCGAGGTGGTCCCTATTTATCTACTTGCATTTGCATGCTTTCGAACCACTAGGTTGGCGGGAGCTGGGACAAGCGACGGGAGCTCACTCCCTCGCGTGGATTTGATCTTACGACTGCTTGGTCTTCTGACCCTGCAGCACAGGCTTCTGCGGTTTAGCCTGCAGCGCCACCACGACCCATTAATACAGTACCTCCTTTAGCGGATGATCCTCCTACTTCTGCTAAAAGTCCTTACATCATAATCATCACCACTACTGCTATTACTCTTTGATTTATACATTGCCCTTCTTTGTCAGAGCTCAGAGTAGCTAACAATTTATACAAAAACATCCTTAAATACAATGCAAGGAGCAAGATTAGGAGACAGAGATTTTTCTGTACTATCTACAACATCTAGCTTGATACCCTGTGCTCAGCTAAGAAGCAGCAACAGCAAACTGAACTTACGTATGTGGGTTTTCTGGTTTTTGTATTCTTGAAGGCTTTCAAGGCTGGGATCCGATGGTTGTTGTAGGATTTCTGGGCTGTTTGGCCATGTTCTGAAGGTTGTTCTTCCTAACGTTTCACCAGTCTCTATGGCCAGCATCTTCAGAAGACAGGAGTTAGAACTGTGTGTTTTGATATCCCACATACACCAGAATACAGAAAGCATTCTAACTCCTGTCCTCTGAAAGTGCCAGCCACAGAGATTGGCGAAATGTTAGGAAGAAAAACCTCCAGAAACAGCCTGGAAAACCTACAAGAACTTTCTGTTTTTTGTTTTTTACTAAGATTGGGGACTTAATACAAAATAACACCTGATCCTTCCTACTAACATTACCTCATCTCCAGGGCTGAAATATTTCACATTCAGTCCACATTCCATCACAACTCCAGAAACATCTCGGCCAAGTGTTAGAGGGAATTCACTGCCTGTAGGTTTGATGCGTATTGGATCTCGCCTCATATTTAAAGCAGACGCTCCATAGCCACCTACCAAATAATAAAGAAAATCAAAAGCACAACACAGAAAATAGGTTTCTTTATTCACTCCAACATTCCCCTTTTTATATCAATGCATATAATTCTGCAGAGAACTGGCCCTAGTACTCTCCTTTTTTAAACAAGAAATTAAAACTGAGACAAACAGAAACTTAATGGTTCAGAGAGTGAGTGAAATAAGGCATTTAGTTTGCTGGTGCAATGTATTGTTTTACTTTCACATCAAGGGTTGGGTGTGGGTTTTTGGTTTTGGGGCCTACAATGCCACCAGAGTGGTCCAAAGGCTGTCCAATGGAGCTCACAGCAAAGAAACTAACAAAAACAATCAAGTTTTATAACTGTATTTTTCCCTGCGTTTGTGTATCCCTGCTTTTGGTTTTGAAAAACATCAATAAGAGACAAGTATACAACCACATCATTTCATTTTTGAAACTAATAACTCTTTACAAAAATAAAACACCCAGATTACTTAGCATGGACTGATGTACTGCAAATTTTCCACTTTTTAAAATTTATTTATTTATTTATTTATACCCCGATATATCTAAATATTTACAAACAAATTTAGTCATGCCATTTAAGGTGTCAGATAGCACTAGTCCAATCAGCTATTTTCATTACTTTTTCTAAGAAAAGAATAATAATACAATAATACAAGAGATGAGTTAGAAGCATTACAACCAAAATATGCAATATAAAACAATTAGGTCCATTAAAGATGAATGGTAGGGAACATGAGAAAAAAATCATATTGACCACCATTCTCACTGAACGTTATATGAACCACCCATAATACTTATAGCTCATTTTATAATTTCAAAGTTATATGCACATTTCATATATTAATATTCTCAACAAGCATATACGATAGGTCTCATTTAATTAAATGATAGCGTATACAAGCACTTACTTCGCATGCTAACATCAAAGGGATTTAAACCTGCAGCATGGACTTTAAGAATTACTTCATTAGGGTAGTTGATTACAGGAAAAGGCATATTATCTGTGAATCGCAGGACGTCATTATTTCCATAACTGTCAATCACCCAGGACGGCATTATTGTACATCTTTGACGGGAGGTGTGAATGCCTCGACTAAGAATTTGCCACCTAGACGAACTTTTCCCTGTTCCAGAACAGGTCACCCCAAAACCAGGCCAACCCAACAGCTTTCTAAACACTTTCCTACACGCTGGGTGTCCTTTCACAAACATCCTTATAAATAAAAGGGAGACAAAAGAATACAAAACCACTTTTAACACCCCGGTCTTCGAATATTGGTGAAAACACCTGAAACTCAGCCTGTGTTTCAAATGGGAACGCGCGGTCCTGAACTTTTAAAAAATAACAATATTTTAAGCTTTATCATCGGCTTTCTAATGGAGGAGGGGAAAGAAGCAGAAGAAGGGGATAAACAAATAGAAACGGTTCTCTCTTCCTGAACTGGGAAGTGAATTTTGATGTTACAGAAAGAAAAATCTCAGCGGGGTTTTGTTCCTTCCCTTCCTAACTGAAATATCAACGCACCAACAATCACCACCCCCCAAAAAAATCACACCGCGAGGCTAATTGCTCCCTCCTAGACCAAAAACAGCTCCCTGAGACCCCGCTGTTAAGAAAGGCGCGCCTGCCCCAAAGTATCCTTCAAAACAACTCTCCTCGCGACTCAATTCTGAAGCCGAAGGCAGATTTCCACGCTACGTAGCCAGGGACCAATAGAAGCACAGCATCATTCCACCTCCCCGAGGCTTGAACCAATCAGTGTCCCCTATGTTAAGTCACGCTCTTCAAGATGGCAGCGCCCATGAGCTCTTCCGTACCCTGCCCGTGACAGGGACCCCGGTCAAATTGACGGCTTGCGTAATTCTCCGTCCCGACTTGGTCGGGAATATGTTGCGGGCTTCCCTCCGAGAGGTGAGAGTGGCTAAGGAGGCTGCGGCCAGGGGCTGTACCTTTTTTGGTGGCTGTTTCCTTCCTTGAGTCCATCTCTGTCCTTTGCTAGATTCCTATTTATCTGTAACGTGGCCACGTTCACATCCCCCTTTGAGGGACAGGATCGTTTGCTTTCCGGCGATCCTTTAGGCCGTGTAAACGCCGCGTGAATGAAAGGGAAAGCAGTAGACGCTCTATAATTCTTTCCTTGTTTTGGTTTTCTTGCATTGTTGCACTGGGTAAAGCTTCACCTGGTGTATGTCCGCTTGTCAAGTACAAGCTAAAGGGTTGGCCTTGGTCAACAGGCAACTGCTGAATAGTGGCTTGTTCTTATGGGCTAGTTAGGCAAAAAAACACTTCTAGTCTACAATTCATTTTATTTTCAAATTTCAGACTTCTTCCAGCAAGTTTCTGGAGTTGTCTAGACTCAGAGTAAAACTATTTCAGTGGGGTGAAGATGAGTACAGTAACTGTGTTGGTCTATTGCAATGAAGATAATAAAAACTATTGCGTCACCCAAAAGATTAACCATCAACAAAATCGAATGCAGTTTTAGTGCAGCACACCAATGAAACACAACTAAAAATAAAGCAAAAGTGATTATTATTTAGTTTAACATACCACACCTTTCTGTCCAGAAAAGTTAACTTTCCAGAATGGAACTGAGGTTGTGTCTGAAGCTATAATTCCATACCAACGTATCTAGGAGTGAATGCAGGTGAACTTACATAAGATTGTGCTCCAAATGAGAATTTCCAATTAAGGACAATTGAGAGCACAATACCCAAAACATCCTTGCCGTCTTGATGTGTTGGACTTCAACTCCTGTCATATCCAGCAAGCGGTGATGGGGTGGTAAGGGCTATTGTCCAGTATACTTAAAGAACAGCGGGATGAGGGACAGTGCCCTAGATTACCACCCCCCACAGCATCTTTGGGTTACTCAACAAAAATTCCTCAAAAGATTTCAACACACAAAGGAAACAATGCTTCTCTCACAATTAAAACTTAAACTCTAATATTTTAGATTAATGTCAATTTTAAGATAAAATGTTCCTTATTCTTTAATATCTTACTCATATTTTTTTCCTTTTTTAAACTTCTATTCTTTTTCTAGCATTCTTTGTCTTTGTATAAACATGCAAATAATTATTTTGTTTAAAAAATCACTTTCCAAATAGGCAGTGCTGTGTGATCAATACAAAAGTTAAATCTAAAGAACAGAGAGCCACAAATCAGTTTTCCTGATTTGTAAATGTGCACAACATAAGAAAAGCCACAAATCAGTTTTCCTGATTTGTAAATAAGATTTGTAAAGAAGAAAAGCCTCACATTTGGTATTGGGACCAGTTCTGGACACAATGCTTCAAGAAGGATGCTAACAAATTGGAACAAGTTCAGAGGAGGATGACAAGGATGATCAGGGGGCTCAAAACCAAGCCTTATGAGGAAAGGCTAAAGAATTGGGCATGTTTTGCCCTGAGAAAAGAAGACTAGGGGTGATACGATAGCACTTTTCAAATATTTGAAAGGCTGTCATACAGAGGAGGGGCAAGATTTGTTCTCGATCATCCCAGAGTGCAGGACACGCAACAATGGGCTCAAGTTAACGGAAGCCACATTTCGGTTGAATATCAGGAAAAACTTCCTAACTGTTAGAGCAGTATGACAGTAGAACCAGTTACCTTGTGAGCTGGTGAGTGCTCCAACACTGGAGGCATTCAAGAAAAACTTGGATAATCACCTGGCATATATGCTTTGATTGTATGCCTGCGTTGATCAGGGGTTGGACTTCTTAGCCTTGTAGGCCCCTTTCAACTTCACTTTTCTATGATTTTGTAGTATTCATATGGTGGAAAGGGAAAGTTGTTATATTGTTTGACTTAAATTCTGTCACTGAAATTCTTTAAAAAATGGAAATAATTGTCCTGTCAGATTTCTGCAGCACTAAAGGAAGGCCAAGTGAGTCCAACAGAGCTTTGTCAGAAATGTCTCTCCCTCATAAAAGCCACCAGATTTCTTAATGCTTATATCACTGTAGCAGAAGACACAGCAATAAAGCAGGCTGAAGCATCAGAAAAGCGGTACAGACAAGGTAATTTTATTCTGCTGGAAATATATTCTTCCCTAAAATCCTTTTATTGTGATCCTCCAATATTCTGCTGAACGCAATTATTTTCTAATATCGTAAAATGCAGAAATGAGAAAAGTTGCTTTTTTGGAATGCTATCTTGGTAAAAACTATGTTAGATACATCATCATATAAGCAAAGCCACAGAAGTAGTTGTTGAGTGTCACCTTAGATGTACTTGAACAAAATTAAAAATGAAATACCTCAAAAGAGTTGTTTCTTGAAAGTCTCTTTTGTTAAAAGGAAAAAAAGTTAGTGATCATTCTGATGAAAGAAAAAAGTGCACAATTCTTCTTTTCCTACAATGCCCTTGTTGCTTGCAAGATCTGAGAAAGTTTGAAAGCAAATCAGAAGTGAAATAAATGTATAATGGTACACCTAGAAGTGTGTGAATCTAAGCATGCAGTCTGTTGGCTGTAGCTAGATACTGTGTAGGGTTGGACTTCTTAGCCTTGTAGACCCCTTTCAACTTCACTTTTCTATGATTGTGTAGTATTCGTATGCTGGAAAGGGAAAGTTTTTATATTGGTTAACTTAAATTCTGTCACTGAAATTCTTTTAAAAATGGAAATAATTGTCCTGTCAGATTTCTGCAGCACTAAAGGAAGGCCAAGTGAGTCCAACAGAGCTTTGTCAGAAATGTCTCTCCCTCATAAAAGCCACCAGATTTCTTAATGCTTATATCACTGTAGCAGAAGACACAGCAATACAGCAGGCTGAAGCATCAGAAAAGCGGTACAGACAAGGTAATTTTATTCTGCTGGAAATATATTCTTCCCTAAAATCCTTTTATTGTGATCCTCCAATATTCTGCTGAACGCAATTATTTTCTAATATCGTAAAATGCAGAAATGAGAAAAGTTGCTTTTTTGGAATGCTATCTTGGTAAAAACTATGTTAGATACATCATCATATAAGCAAAGCCACAGAAGTAGTTGTTGAGTGTCACCTTAGATGTACTTGAACAAAATTAAAAATGAAATACCTCAAAAGAGTTGTTTCTTGAAAGTCTCTTTTGTTAAAAGGAAAAAAAGTTAATGATCCTTCTGATGAAAGAAAAAAGTTCACAGTTCTTCTTTTCCTACAATGCCCTTGTTGCTTGCAAGATCTGAGGAAGTTTGAAAGCAAATCAGAAGTGAAATAAATGTATAATGGTACACCTAGAATCTAAGCATGCAGTCTGTTGGTTGTAGCTACATATTGTGTGACTGAAAACAAGATTCCTCGTACCATCTATAATACAGGCTCAGATGCTGGTAGATGACCATGGATCATGCAGATATAAGTAAAATAAATAAATAAATAAATAGATCACCATGGATCGTGCAATGGCATGGAGGGAAGCCACAATGTGGCTCTTGTGCTCTACAAAAGGAATTTTGAGGGGACACCATTGTGTCTGCAAAATGGGCTGAGTAAAAGGAAGGGTTTGGAGCCAGTTTGAAAGGTAGTTATGTATATTTCATTCACTAATGTTTCTAATCTGCCTGTACAACAGCTCTTCCAGTAGTATATGTTTAGACAGTATGAAAAAATCACAGTAAACTCAGTGTTAAATAAGTTTGTATGATATTTTGTGTTGCACACTGGTTTAAAAATTTGTGTGTTGTTTACGATATAGGTCAGACACTGGGGAATTTAGATGGCATTCCTTTTGCTGTGAAAGACAACTTCAGTACAGCTGGCATTGAGACAACATGTGCATCCAGCATGCTAAAAGGTAAAGTGGACAGTTAAGCAACCACCTTGGTTGTTGAGGTGCATTAGCCCTTGGGTTCTTGTTGATCAAGGCTGTAATTCTGTTCTGAATTAGCACTCTATATGTTATTAAAATAATCTCAGAAATTTTGGGGTATTGGGATCAAATTGTACCAGTTCTGATATAGCTGTATTCACTTCCTGCCTGTTGTCAAACCCAGCTCAAAGTGGTGTTGCTTACCTCAAAAGCCGTATGTGGTTTAGAGCCTGCAGATCATTTGTTCCCATATTTATCTGCACTGTGCTACAGTCATTGAACTCTTCCAGGTTCTCTACCTGAGGGCAGGTGGTAACCAGAGAGAGAATCTACTGGATGGTGTAGTGTGCTTTTGCAACTGCTCTCTTGGAGATTGGCAAAGATGAATTCTCTCTTGTTTTCCCTAGCTTTATACATCCTGGCTCATTTTAATCGTTGGTTTTGTTATAATTAATTTTCTTAACTACATTTCACTAGATTTTGTTACTGTGTATATGTGATTGTAAACTGCAGCTGTTTTGCTGACGTGGTATCCAAATACACCAAATTAACATAATGTAGATCGTACTGTAAAATGCTATATGGTTGTAGAAAGATATACAGTGGTGCCCCGCATAGTGACGTTAATCCGTTCCAGGATTAACGTCGCTATCTGGATTGGTCGCTATGCGGGGGGGGGGAATCCGTTTAATGCGTTCCTATTGGGGAAAAACTCACCGCTATGCGGGGAATCCTCCATCCGGCCGCCATTTTCGCCGCCCGGTAAGCAAGGGCAAGGCGCGAAAACACTGCGGGCGGCCATTTTCTGCACCCGGCGGCCGTTTTGGAACCGTCGATCAGCTGTTTGTAAAACATCGCAATGCGAAGATCAGTAAACGAAATGCTTACCGATCATCGCAATGCGATGTTTTCCCTATCTAAAACATCGCAATGCGATCGCATTAGGGATCGCAAAAAACGTGTCGCTATGCGGATTCGTTGTTAAACGGTGTGCTCGTTAAGCAAGGCACCACTGTACCTCTTATTTAGACATAATATTAAGCCAGGATTGCTGAAAATCTGGCCTTTTGTTTTGTAAGCATTGAGTTCATAGATGCATCATACATCATTCCTGTTTGTTTATTCCCACCACTGGGTGTGGTTAAACTAATTGGAAAGCAAAAACTACCTCTTAAATGCAAAGCAGGGCCTTATCTTTTGCTCTCCTAACAAAACTAGAATGGGAAACCACTTCAAACTAGCTTCAGATTCTGGTTATCATACATCATTCCTGTTTGTTTATTCCCACCACTGGGTGTGGTTAAACTAATTGGAAAGCAAAAACTACCTCTTAAATGCAAAGCAGGGCCTTATCTTTTGCTCTCCTAACAAAACTAGAATGGGAAACCACTCCAAACTAGCTTCAGATTCTGGTTTGTTAGAGGACTGACAGAAAGGAGTCTGGTTTTACATAGAATGGGATGCTTTTGCTTCTGGGTCCTGTTTAGCTTAGCTTTCTCCTAACAAACCAATAATTCTATACTGTTATATCCTAACAAAGCTGACATCTGCAGCCAATCCAGTCCTTGCATTTTCCAGGTTATATACCCCCTTATAATGCAACAGTGGTTCAGAAATTGCTGGATCAAGGAGCAGTGCTTCTTGGAAAAACAAACTTAGATGAATTTGCGATGGGGTAAGTTGAGTTAAATGTTTATTAAGATTTGTATTTTAATGCCTCCTTAGGTGCTTTATGTGAGGGACGTGGTGGCGCTGCAGGTTAAACCGCAGAAGCCTCTGTGCTGCAAGGTCAGAAGACCTGCAGTCATAAGATTGAATCCACATGACGGAGTGAGCTCCCATGGCTTGTCCCAGCTCCTGCCAACTTAGCAGTTCAAAAGCATGCAAATGCAAGGCATGTCTAGTCACACTGGCCACGTGACCACGGAAAATGTCTTTGGATAAACACTAGCTCTATGGCTTTGGAATGGGGATGAGCACTACACCCTAGAGTCGGACACGACTGGACTACACATCAAGGGGAACCTTTACTTTTAGGTGCTTTATATCTTTAAAAACAAAACAAAAAGTTATAAGGATGTCCAAGAGCTTTGTCAGATACAAACATTCAGATCATGCAGTTCACCTCTTGTTACTGAGCATCCATTGGCCACACCATTTCAGACCTGCCTTTGCAGATGTAGCAATTAGAAATACTCCCATTAATAAAGTAAAAACGGCAACATTTGGTAGCTAAGTCAATGAATTCTGGACTTGATACTGGATTCTATAATTGCTTGAAATTGCAAAAATCATACATTTGTTAAAAGATACATGGAGAGCAGCACCAGATCAGAGCAAAGGCTTATCTGATTTAGTATTTGGTTTCTCTCAGTGGCCACCAGTATAAGCATTTGTCCACTTCGGGGTCCCAAAGTAACGAACCTTACATCTAAAATCCCCAGGAATTGGGGTATGTTTTTGGACTGCAGCTCCGCAAATCCAAACAATATATAGGTCTGGCGTCCTAGGAGTACAGGTAGTTGTAGACTCCACAGTTTGGATTATAGTGACAAAGTCCCCAGATGTTCTCCAACCCCTTCAAAAAGTAAGATAAAAGTTTTGCAGGGCTCCTGGTTGCTCATGCTTGGATGAACATCTTCATGTAACCTCAAGAACGGCATCTGATTGGTCTTTATTACTATCCTTGCCTTTGTGGAGGAATTAATTTCAAATGTAATTAAAAGAATAAAGGAATGTTTCAATCTATAGCTAAATTAATAAGTTTAAGTCTTCTTTCTGCATGACCTTCTTATCTTAGTTCAGGGAGCACAGATGGAGCTTTTGGACCAGTTAGAAACCCTTGGAGTTATTCACGACAGTACAGAGGGAAGTGTGTGAAAAATGCCAGCACTCAGAGTGGAGACCCTGACTGGTTGATTACTGGAGGAAGCTCTGGAGGCAGTGCAGCTGCAGTATCATCTTTCACGTGCTTTGTGTAAGAGGCTTTTACTAACAATTTAATTATGAGCATCACAATGTCACTGCTAAACAATGGATTAGTGCTAACAATGTACTAAGAGCTGTTTAAAATCCAGAAGCACCATGGGCCGTGAGTAGATTGTTTATAACTTGTTCTAGAATAGACAGCTTGGACAAGACTTGGTAAAGGAGAAATGAGAATGGTGCTGAGCCCCTTCATACATTTTTATTATCAAAAGGAGTATCTTAAAATATGCAGTTTAAAACTTTTTAAGCTCTGTCCTGTTAGTCTGAATATTCTGCACTATTTGGAAAGAATGTACTATGACAGTGAGAAATGATGCTGTAGATACTCTTTCAGCCAACCCTTTGAGAAGTGCTGTGGGAACAAGATACCCACCAGCTCAGTCTCAGGGGGGGAAAAACAGAAGAAATTTTATTTAGTGAGATCTGTTGTTGTTGTTTAGTCATGTCCAACTCTTTGTGACCCCACAGACCAGAGCACACCAGGCCCTTCTGTCTTCTACTGCTTCACAGAGTTTGGAAAAATTCATGTTGGTTGCTTCGATGACACTGTCCAACCATCTCATCCTCTGTCGTCCCCTTCTCCTCTTGCCTTCATACTTTCCCAACATCAGGGTCTTTTCATGAGATGGCCAAAGGATTGGAGCCTCAGCTTTAGGATCTGTCCTTCCAGTGAGCACTCAGGGTTGCTTTCCTTCAGAACGGATAGGGTAGTTCTCTTTGCAGTCCAGGGGACTCTCAAGAGTATCCTCCAGCACCACAATTCAAAAGCATCAATTCTTCAGTGGTCAGCCTTCTTTCTGATCCGGCTCTCGCGTCCATACGTCACTACAGGGAAAACCATAGCTTTGACTATGCGAACTTTTGTTGGCAAGGTGATGTCTCTGCTTTTTAAGATTGTGTCTAGGTTTCTCATTGCTTTCCTCCCAAAAAGCAGGCATCTTTTAATTTCGTGGCTGCTGTCACCATCTGCAGTGATCATGGAGCCCAAGAAAGTAAAATCCGTCACTGCCTCCATATTTTCCCCTTCTATTTGCCAGAAGGTGATGGGACCAGTGGCCATGATCTTAGTTTTTTTTATGTTGAGCTTGAGACCATTTTTTGCACTCTGCTCAATGGCAGAAAGCAAGGAGGAATTAAAGAACCTCTTAATGAGGGTGAAAAAGAGGTTCTTTAATTCCTCCTCACTTTTTGCCATCAGCATATCTGAGGTTGTTGACATTTCTTCCGGCAATCTTAATTCCGGCTTCGGATTCATCCAGTCCAGCCTTTCACATGATGTATTCTGCATATAAGTTAAATAAGCAGGGATACAATATACAGCCTTGTCGTACTCCTTTCCCAATTTTGAACTAATCACTTGTTCCATATCCAATTCTAACTGTTGCTTCCTGTCCCACATATAGACTTCTCAGGAGACAGATAAGGTGGTCAGACACTCCCATTTCTTTAAGAACTTGCCATAGTTTGCTGTGATCCACACAGTCAAAGGCTTTTGCATAGTCAATGAAGCAGAGATAGATGTTTTTCTGGAACTCTCTAGCTTTCTCCATCATCCGGTGCATGTTAGCAATTTTGTCTCTTGTTCCTCAGCCCCTTCAAAATCCAGCTTGTATTTCTGAGAGTTCTCAATCCACATACTGCTGAAGCCTACTTTGTAGGATTTTAACATAACCTTGCTTGGGTGAGAAATGATTGCTATGAGTATTGAAATGAGTATTGTAGGTAGAGTTTTCTTTGGCATTGCCCTTCTTTGGGAATTGGATGTAGACTGATCTGCTACAGTGAGATCTGTAGCATCCCTTAAAATAAAATTCCTTTTCATCCCAGGCTTGAACTTGACATCATGCAGAATTAACAATGAGATTTTGAGACTGACTGTTTTCAGACAGTGGATTCTATCACCACCTCACAAAATTTCCTAACTTTGTTCACACTGATCCTTTATGTGTTCTCTTGACTTATTAAAAATACCCCGTTTAGGGAGTGGGCTGGGGAATCAGACCACAATACATTGTTGAAGCTCTGGTACTTTTCACATTAGAGAGCAACATCTAGAAAACAAACTCTTCTGAACAGTAGTTCCCAATACCATCCAGTGGTCATGTTATCTGAGGAGTTCTAAGAATTGTAATTCGAAAAAGTAATCCTTCCATGCTTCAGGAGAACCCTAAGCATATGATTAGCTCTCCTGTTTAGCTGATTGAATGGATTGAATGGCTTAACTCGTTCTCTCCCACTGACTGGTTCTGTCTCACAGTGTTTCCTTCAATAGGGCAGAGTGAATCAGACGTGTAACAATCTGATAAACTATATGTTAAATTTATGCAGCCATACCATTTTAAACCAGAAAAATTATTTCTAGAGCTTACTGTTTTACATTTATTGTCCAGTTCTGTTCTAATGAGCTCAGAATATGCTACATGTTGTTCCTAGGTGGTCTCCTATAAGGCATAGTTGAGGGCCCCTTAGCTGTTACAGCTGAAGATCTGGTCTGACAGGGTGTTCTTTAATCAAGCTGCTTTGAAATAAGTTTACAGTAGTTCCAGAAGTTAAAATTTTGCATGTGAAAACATTACCTGCTGAATTTCTTCCTGGCAAGCAGATGTTACCGTTCTACGAGGCCTCTTCAAACTAGGCATTTCATGGGGCAATATTAATCTGTACCAGTCTTCTTTGTTGTCCTTAGACTAAGCAGTTTATTGTTAGCTGTGCACTGCAAAAAAACATCAACAACTAGGAAGTGTCTCTTTAATTTTAAGTATTACAGTATTTGGTTAAAAAAACAAGAAGTTGCTCGGTAGATGAACGCAATCTACAGGAAGAGTATGAAGAAGATAGTTTGTCTTCTGCTATAGGTTACTTGAAGGCTCTATGGCCATTTCAGGCAAATGGCAGTATAAATGCCATTAGAGTCCAACTCATGTCCCAAGCATACTAACACAAGGCAGCCACATTTCTTCAGGCGTTTATATCAATGAAGCAAGAACGTCTGTGTCTAGAAGAACACATGGCAAATATCCTTTCTGCTAACAGTTGCTGGTTACTAATTATGTTCTCATGTTCAAAAATTTCTATCTTCACTTTCCGTTTGGCATATTTATCTTTTGCACTCTAGTTATTTTGTACTTCAGATGTGCACCTTTGCATTCCTATTTATCTTTAGCTGCTTTAGTTACTTAGTTTTGTTTTATTCTTCTCTTCACTTCCATAACATCAAATATATGTATATCTGCTGCTAGCAAAGTCTACTTTATGCATGAGATGGTAAAGTTTCCCAGGACAATAATAAATAATAGCAAAAAAACAAAACGCATATTCTTTTGGCTTTTTTAATGCAGGCTATATAATTTATTGAAAGCACCATAAGACGCACTTTTTCCCCACAAAACAGGGGGGTGGAAAGTCTGTGCGTCTTATGGAGCGAAGAAAACAGATTATATTTTCCTGTTTTCTTCTCCTAAAAAATTGGTGCGTCTTATGGAAAGGTGCGTCTTATGGAGCGAAAAATACGGTAATTTATTGATAGAACAATTTTGAAAGCATTTTTTATTATTCAGATATGAGTAGTTGTACTCTTCCTAATGTTTCTGACTGGTATCTCCCATAATCTCCAAAAGCTGGCTGTACTGACTAGCCAATAGTGGGGGATTATGGGAGTTGAAAGCCAAAAACATCTGGTATAACAGAACAATATAAAAGCAGAGCAAGCTGGACTTGAATATTGGACTATGTGTTTTACTATTTGTTCTTCAACTGTAGGGCACTGGGATCCGATACAGGAGGATCCACCCGAAATCCCGCCTCTCTGTGTGGTGTTGTTGGTTTGAAACCGACCTATGGTTTGGTTTCCCGTCATGGTCTCATTCCACTTGTTAACTCCATGGATGTTCCAGGCATCTTAACCAGAAGTGTGGATGATGCAGCTACTGTTTTGGGTATAAGATTATGCATATATGTTTTTGCTTTGTAAAGGGTGGGCCACCTCTTTCAGTGTTTATGGTGAACCTCTGAATGAGTGACTCCCAGAAGGTCCAATCTCAGCCCTGCTCAGCTCTTGCAAACTCATGGCCCCAACTTCCTTTATCGAGTTAGTCTATCTCATAATTTGTTCTTCTTTTTTCTGCTACCTTCAACCTTTCCTAGCATTATCTTGCCTTTGTATCATGTGCCCAAAGTATGATAGACTTTGTTTCATCGTTTTTGCCTCTAAGGAGAATGGTAAGAAGGGCCAAAGGCACAAGGTTCAGATTCAAAATATCAGCATATTTTAGTGTAAAGCTGTTATTAGAGGCAACAAAGCCTCAGATTTAGACTTTTCAGTCATTTAGAATGGGGGAAATCCCTATCAAAGGGAGGAAATACCTGAACAGTGGTATTGTGCAAAAAGGGTTCTGGCAATTCATCCCCAAGGTGTTGAACTCCTTACCCCCTATACAAGGCAGTTGTCTCAAACCTAGGTTAATTCTGTGGTTTCCTTCCCACATTCTTTCTTGTAGTTTATGAGGTTTCCCCTCCCTTTTGCAGGTGTGCTTGGAGGACATGATCCAAAAGACTCAACCACAGTGCAAGACCCTTTTTGTCCATTTCAGCTACCTAGTTCAATAGATTTGAAAAACCTTTGCATAGGTATACCAAAGGTAAGTGGCATGTCAGTGGGGGAAGAAGATAGCACAAACTTTTAATTTTGGCGTAGTTATCATACAGTGTTCCATATGATATAACCTTCACATTATATCAGCTTTTAGCAATGGGATAGGGAACTTGTGGCCATCTATATACTATACAGTATCTATATACATCTAGATTACAACATCCAACAGCACCAACCAGCTTGCTCAATTATCTGTTGATGGGTGTTGCAGTCAAATAACCTATGGAGGGCCACAAGTTTGTAAACCAAATTTTAAAGGGTTATCGTCTTGAATGTCTAATCCAGTTTGAGAAATGTGCAAAATTTGGCACTGATTGCCTGTATCAGTCTAGTGGTGTTAGTTGGAATGAGTATGTCATTTGGGGAACTTTTCTTCTTTTAGGACAACGGTGGAGGAACTTTGCCCTCTACCCAATTTACAACTTCTATCACCCATACCCAGCATGGTAAGCAGTTATGGGGATTATCCTCTAAAACATCTGGAGAACCAAAAATTCCCAGCCCAGGTTTTACAGCTTCATATTCCAGCCCATTAATGCCTGGAACAAGAAGCAATTACTGAATGTCTGTCACCCATATATGTTGAAAAATCATGAAATCTTTGGACAATTTGTATCATAGAGCTTCCTTTTGGAGTTGCTACTCACAAGCAAATACAGTCCACACAGGTGATGGTGTGGGCCAGTTGCTGCTGAAAAAAAGAATATAGGCCGCTTCATTGCATTGAGAAATGTATGCTTTTTGCAGTTATTTGTATATGATCCTGAAACATTAATACTTTTTGTGGATATGCTTTGGCTTTTCCAGGGAAACAGAGCATTAGTGTTTAGAAACTGCTGTTCATTTTTTTAGGGAACTTGCTTCATATTCTAAATATCTGTGCAGAACCCTGGCTGATTATTTGGGCTTTCTCTGAATAGGTGAGCTGACAATGAAATAGAAAATGTAAAACATTCAGGATTGTGTTACAGAAAAATCAACTGTGTCTTGAGTTAGTAATTGTAATATTGGTAACTATTAAAAACTCATTGTCAATAGTTAGTGAAAACATATAGCCCCATCTGTAGGACAGGGGCTACATGAAAAAAGGAAGAGAAGTGAAACATTAATGCTTGCTTGCTATGTATCAGCTTCTTTTATCATTGTTGACACGATTATTGATGGTATTTATCCTAGTTATCTAAAATGGTAACAAGAGTTTTGTTGTTCTGCTTTAAAGGGACATTTGGGGCAGCATAAGCATAATTTCCATAACTGAGTCAGCACTGAAGATAGAATCAAGCAGATGTGTCATAATTGTCCTCCATGGACGATAAAGATGTAATATTCAGTGTTACTTTGTAACTTTCCTCTGTTACTAAGTATCGGGTTTCAGAAAATCCTAGCAGATGGCCTTACCACTTCTGCCAATGAGTTCCTTGCCAGTCATTGCATTGTTACTCATATTTGGAAACATTCCTTTTTGTGGATTAGTGGCCATGCTGGCTAAGAGATTCTGGGAGCTACAGTCCAAAAGAAGTAACTTTTCCAAGCCCAGCTCTTAGTTCCAAGAACAAGGATCTGAAATTGTTAAACCCCATCTTGTGCCTGCCATTCCCAATCAGTTCCAAAAAACAATCTGGCTTCTGAAGCAACCTGCAGTTTGGCACTACTCAGATGCATACTGTCCAAAAGATTATACTTTTCTCTCCCCTCTTTGTCTCTCTCTCTCTCTCTAAGGAGTACAATGTACCGGGATTGTCTCGTGAAACACTGACAGTGTGGTCCAAAGCAGCTGATCTCTTTGAGAAAGCCGGTGCCCAAGTGATTGACGTGAGCCTGCCCCATACCTCTTACTCCATCGTCTGCTACCACGTACTGTGTGCAGCAGAGGTAGCATCAAATATGGCCCGATTTGATGGTCTAGAATATGGTACGTGTCCTCCGTAAAATATTTGCATATAAGATAAAAAAAGTATATTTCCTAACAGAGCCAGTTTAATGCAAATAGTCTTGGTTTTTAATTGGCAACCCATGAGCTACGATTTCCTAACAGAGCCAGTTTAATGCAAATGTTGCTAAAGTTAGTTTTGGTTTTTAATTGGCAATCCATGAGCTACACAGATCTGATGAGATTCTAGAACAGTTCCCCTTTTTCCTCATCACCATTGTTCCTCCAGTTTACTGGCTTCCACAGTACTCGCTTCCATGTTTCTGCATGTTACTTTGTCTACATATATATACGTATTCATGCTCAAAATCGTAGGGAGACATGCTAAACAGAACTAACCAACAGTCATTGTACAACTCAAGGGGAATTTTCAAAGATAGAGCATGAGAGGTTTGTTTGAGTGAGAAACTAGTTGAGAAAGAACTTGCAGAAACATTACATACCCAGAAGTATAGCTGAGCAGTGCTGGTTCATGCTGTGCATTTGCCACAGTGGAAGACTGTCTTTATGTGTGAGTTTAAAAAGCACGGAGGACTGATGCAGGATACAGTGCAAGTAGGTCTGCGTGGCTCAGGTTACACATTTCAAAAGGCCAGCACACCTCCCTGTACAACTCTAGCATACTAGTTCATGCTTTCTTTTGCCTTTTCCATTCTCTCCAACACTCTCCATTCTGCCAGATGCAACCTGCCACAGTATGAACTGAGCCAGCATATCTGATGTGCTTTTAAAGTACAGAAAAATGAAGCCTCTGCCAAAGCTCTTTCTGCTCTATGGAAACCCTCTGTTGACTTCAGCATAGACCAGTGCTGGATGAATTTCTTTATTGTTATCCCTGGGAATGGTTCTGTTGTTTGTTTGTTTGTTTCTTGTTATAAGAAATGTTGTCTCAGCTGTGTCCTTTGAAGTGTGTGCTCTGACTGCAACACAAATTCATGTATTATTCAGCTCAATTGTTGGTCTGTATTCAAGGTCAACTGATGAGGGACTGCAATGTTACCAAAATGTCTCTGCAATTCTTGGTCAAAGGTCATGGGTTCTGCTTTGTATCATATTCCCCAGTATTTTCTGAATTGCCACATCTTGCTTCCCAACACCTACTTGTTTCTATCATTTTATAGCAGTGGGATAGAGGATAAATAAGGTGAGTAATTCCTGACTCTGATTTGGACCAACTAGTTTCCGCATTGGTGTAAGGAAATTGAAAATTACCTTCGGAAGTCATGAAAGCTCTAAAAATTACATTTGTTTAGATGGGGGCAGGGTGTTATATAAATAGCCTTATATTTATCAGGAACCTTTTGTTCTTCTACAGAGGTAACCACAAGTGTCCACACAGAGTTTTCTCACATGTTAACCATACACTAGATTTTTCATCCTTTAATAATCCTAGTAGTTGAGTTACATATAAGCCTGGCAAAATCTGTAGCTATTTTGTTCTGTCCTTCTGGAGAGTCAGACAAAATGATTTCTTGGATATCATAAGAAAATGTGTGCAAAAGCATGTTTGCATTAGCCTGCAGCGTTACCACCAGCTTGGAAAGAATTGTGTGAAAATAAATTTGACTATCCCCTTTCACACCCCTGTTGACAGTTTAGAAGCCCTTGTCATTCTACTGCCATTCCCCTTTCAGCAATCTGGAAAAGAATAAACATGAGTGATTACTCCCATTATTGGTAAATAAGGGTCCGGAAATGAAGGTGCAAACATTAGATTGCCTGGATAGTGCCAGACTGTGTCCACAGTATAGCAGCAATACTCCCTTCCCCTTCCTTTTTCCTTTCCTTTCCTTTCCTTCTGTGTTTTGAAGCACAGCCACTTTAGAAACAGACAGTTGCTCTTACTTCAAAGGAAGATTTGCCTCCCTTTGAGGTGTCTTTATTTACCCTTAGTGACATTATCACAAATCTAATTGGCTGTTTGGTGTGGATCAGCATGATCCCTTTTGGGATGGGGACACATAAGGGAGAGGAAGCTCCAGGAAAAATAAATAAAATTGTGATTAAGGGGGAAATAAAACCTAGCATAAACCAACTGCTTCAAGGGCCAATGAACAAATGGGCAAGAAAAAGGTAAACCTTTGAGAGTCTTTAAGTTGTTTGGGTGAGGAGGCATTCATCTCGCATTTCGTATAATGCCATACAGTTCCAGCCAAGAACATTGAGCTGAAACTATTGAACATTCAGCAGTCTGAATAGCTTCCAAATTCTGCATGAGGTTTACCAGGTGCTGGTAAACCCCATGCAGAATTTATAGTTCTCTTGCCTATAACTAAATCGATTATCTGATGGTTTAGCTGTGTGCAATAGTAGCACAGAAAATTCTGATATACAGTACTTTTATGATGTATGGAGTAGCAATTTCTATTGTTTATTCATGAGATAATTTTGAATGGCTGTAAGATGTGCTTCCAAATCACTAGTGACTTTATTTTTAGGACATCGAAGCAATGTTGATGAGTCTACTGAAGCTCTTTATGCAGCAACACGCCGGGAAGGCTTTAATGATGTTGTGAGGGGAAGAATTCTGTCAGGAAACTACTTCTTGCTAAAACAGTAAGTTCAGCACATTTTGTAGTTCAAACATACAAAGCCAGCATTTTATTTGTTGTTCAGTTAAGGGTGAAATTACTCATGTTAGACAGATTTTTCCACCTAGATAAGGCAATATTATTATTGCTGATAGTGCTACAGCTGTAATATGAAGCAAAATATTCTCAAAATTCTGCACAAACTGGTAGTTCTCTCTCCTCTCTGACTTTCTTCTTGTTCCCTGTTTGTTGTGAGCTTATTTTTACTTTTTTTTTCCTTAGTAGCTCCTGTCCTTGGTGCATATTAAATACAACATCTTTCTTCCTGAGAGGCAGAATAGTTTAAAGTTTGATTTGGGTTTAACAGGCTCAACCAGATACTTGTATGGGAAACTCATTCCCTTGTAGCCCCAGTGAATGTCTGAATGATGAAACCAAACAGGTAATTTAAACAACGTTCTAAGAAAGATATATTACATGTATGGTGTACGTAAAATGATATGCCAGCTAACATGGCTGCAAGAGTTTTCTAAAGCAGCACATCAGAGACCCAAGAAAAGAACCATTGGTAATTCTGACATTGTAGATTAGGGAATATTGGACTGCAGCACCCATAATCCTTCTATGATTGCCCCCCCCAAGTGAGGGCAATGGAATAAAGGAAGATCAGGAGATCTTTTAGAAAATTTGGGGAGAAAGAAAATCTCAAAACGCCTCTCAAAATACTTTTTTCAGTCTCCAGATTGTCACCAGTAAATGTAAATTGCTCATTTGCATATTCCAGGTCTAATCCTCTCTAGGTATAAACTACACTTCTGTGGGGAATGCATTGAAGACAGAACGTCTTGCACTATAGAAAAGTTGAAGCCGGTGTCACGGTGCTTTGACTCAGGAGTTTAGCTTTAACAATAGATTTGGGAAAATTGCCATTTTATACCCACCCACTCCCTAGCTGGCTACAGAACTAAAATAATGATTCACTTTCGCTGTTCTCATGGAACATCTTTCTTCCTCACACTAGGAACTATGAGAATTACTTCATTAAAGCTCAGAAAGTGAGAAGACTCATTGCCAATGATTTTGCAAAGGTCTTCCACTCTGGTGTCGATATTTTGCTCACTCCAACTACTCTGAGCCATACTGTGCCATACGCAGAGTTCACCAAAGAAGACAATAGAACCCGCAGTACGCAGGATGACATTTTCACTCAAGCGGCCAACATGGCTGGTAAGAAAACATGCAGGTTTCTGACACTTTTTCTAGCCTTGATTTCACAAATTGATCTTTTTGAGCCTCCATCTGGCTCCAGCACTGATTTATTTTCCTTATCTGTGTGCCACATGAGTGGTGGGTAATATATTTTAAAACCCATGGGGAAGTGTGGGCTGCAGTACGTACTACACATAGATGTGAATTATTTCCTTTCCAGGTCTTTTCATGTGTGTGATTTTCAGCCCACCTCAGTGGTTGTTGACTTGTGAAAAATGGATCTGTTCTAGTCTGAGAAAACTGGAATGGATTTTTATCTTTTTACCACTGGGGAGTGGTAAAAAGGACATCTGCATGTTAGCTGCAAACAACAGTATGTTGACAGTTGTGACACATCACAATGCACTGGTTTAAAATACTTGCCAAAGCTGGAAAGTGTTGGAGCAGATGGGATTAGTATTTAAACTAGGGATATGAACCTGTCAACCCGTAGCTCTGATCGCATCTCCTTGGATATGTGGGAAGTTGTTATCTCACCACCTGTGAAAGGGAATGGTAACACAAAGGTTCTTTGAAGGAGGGAGGAATGATGACAGACAGACAGATCTGGTTAGCGTTTTACTGTCTGGAGAAGTGTAAAGCTTGTATCTGTATTGTATCTATTATATGGTATTTTTACTTATGATTTTATAACATGTTGTGAACTACCCAGAGGGTGATAACCCAAATGGAGCAGTATGGAAGTGGAAATAATGAATTTAATTTAATTTAATTTAATATTTGCTTTGTGCCTGATACTCTTGCTATTTTTTTACCATTGAATAGTTCATACTCAAATGATGCAAATAAAGGGTTTTTTGTTTTGTTTTTGTCTTTCAGGGCTGCCAGCTGTAAATGTTCCTTCTGCACTCTCAGAGGAAGGCTTACCAATTGGACTACAGTTTATTGGCCAGGCTTACCAGGAAAGGCAGCTTCTCACAGTGGCCAAGTGGTTTGAAAAGCAAGTTCAGTTCCCTGCCATACAGCTAAATGGGATAATGGAGAATCTGGACACAACCCCACACTGGGAGAAGTCTGCTTTTTTAACATGAAAAGTGACTGCAAAGATTTGTTAAATACACAATAAAAAAAGATTGTGGAGATGCCTGAAGCCTTATGGGCAGATTGAGATATAACTTCTTTATGAATTTTGTTCTTCAGACATGTTAGGAAGGAACAAATTTAAGCCATTCAAATTATTTTCTGTGCAACTGAATTATCAAGAAATCTGAAACTGTCATCGTTTCTAAATCACCCTTAAACAGAAGGCTAGTAGGTTCTTGCAGTAACCAAATTCCAGCCTGAATGCAGGACCATAGGAAGCCGGCGTTATAGATTACAAAGGCTGGCACTTTGTTCAATAAAGGGACAAATCAGAGGAGCATCAGCCCTGTCAAAGATACAGTAGCAAATATCTTCTTAGCATATGAAGGCTAAAAGTACAAGCAAGGCTTTCTTGTGATCTAAAAGTCCAGCAGGGACTTGAATGCAGACTAAGAGACCGAAGAGCCAGTAGCAGCAGTGGAAGAGACACCCAAGCACCACTGGAGAACCTGAAACCTTGAGCCTCCAAAAGAAGTGGGGAAGAAGTTACCTTTGTGGCAGAGTCCCATGAGTCCAGATCATTACTGGTAGCCTTTAGACCAACTCCAAGCCTGGGATAGCACACCCTTCTCCAAGAGCTCCACAACCCCTGGATCCAATATGCTAAAGCTGATAAGTGTGCCAGGCATGAGTTCCTGGCGCTCCAAGCCTGGGATAGCACACCCTTCTCCCAAGAGCTCCACAACCCAATATGCTAAAGCTGATAAGATGAAAAAGTGTGAGACTTCATCAAGCCAAAGAGGAACCCTTTAAAGCTTGCCACTTTGTGAGAAGTGGCACAGCCTTGAGCAAAAGGTATAAAAAGCTACTGTGTGTCTCAGCTTTTGCAGGAATAAAGTACTCTCCTGGAACTCCCCCAGTTGCTGCCTTCCCATCCCATGGGCTTCTACTGGCCTGAACACGTCCTACTTTAAACACACACAGAGAGAGAGAGAGAGAGGATTTGCTGCAGAAAATTATTTTGAGCAGTGCAACGGAGAGAAGTCAGGGGACCCTCCCCACTGCAGCCTTCTGTGCATCCCCCCCTCCCAGTTCTGCTCCAGAAGTCTGGGAAACTATTTGAAGCCACTTTTTGAGCAATGTGGAAGGCTGCAAGGAGGAGGTGTGAAAGGAAGTTTTTCCTCTGGGAACATGACATTTGGATTTTAACCATCATGTAATCTGACCAGCAGATCATATTTCACCTTTTCCCCACTCCCATGAATATCCCGCTGAATTTTAAATTGCTGTGATGCCTTCCAGATTTTATTATTATAATAATGGCCAGCCTCTAGTCAACTTTGGATCCTGGTCTTCAACCCATTTGGTTCAACCCTTACAGTATTTGAAAATATGTCCCACAAATTGCAATATTTACTGAACCTTCAAATTAATATGAATGGGATCTGAGCAGCGAAAAGCCAGATTGCAGTGATATCTCAAATGGGCTACATCACCTGCACTGTTCCCCATGCCTGCACTCTTCCCCATTTTTAATTAGGGACACCAGAAAATATTGATTTATTCTTATGCTAACTTTGTGCCTCCTGCAGCAGAGACACAGTATATAAACAACTTTTAATTCTCTTTTAAATCAGCTTCTGGTCCATTCTGGCTAAACATAATATGATGCTATCATTATTTTCTTAGGGTCTTGCAAAATTTCTTTCTGACATGAAATTGGTTGGCTCCAGAGTATTGATCACAGAGAAAGAAAGAACAAGTAATTAGAATGTGATGAAATGGTGTTTGCTTCCTATCTGAAAATGAATCACTCCAAATAGTGCTCTTATTACAGAAAGTCTCATGAGAATAAGAACCTTTTGTATGAAGCACAGTCATCAATATGAAAAGCTTTAGGTTTTCAGAATGGCATCTTGATTAAGAAGAAGAGGAATCCACTTACACATGATTAGATGTTGCAGCAAATAAAGGCACAGCAAAGTAATTGTCTTATTTTACAATCCTAAAAGTATTTATAGATGCACAACCTGTGATCTCAGTGGAATGGATGCTTTTGAGACATGTGCTTAATACTGGAGGGTGCTTAGCTAACTGATACCTATACTCAACCAATGTTTGCCTGGTAAATGAAGCCTATATTTTTAGGAAACCAGTGCTGTCACCCACCATTCAGCTTAGCATTATCCCACCTCAACAAAGATGGTTTCATCTTTCTTTGGACTATGCACGAGATTTCTAACAGTCAGAAACTTTTGGAGCATTGTATGTAAATCCTGAGCTTTCTGGGGTGGCATGAAAATTAAGGGGGTCCTGGATTTAATTAAAAATCTACCAGTGGTTTGTCTTAGAAGAAGTCAGTGTTGTACTGCAGCAGTATTGATGACCTTGCTCAAGTTATACAGCAGTATTTGGCTAACATATAAGTAAAAAGATGAGATCACTCAACTGTACTATTTACTTGTTCTGCTAGCAGTGTTTAACAAAACAACATCCCCTTGTGCATCAGCAGAAGCTTTAGTAAATGGTGGGGAACTGAACCTTTATGAAAACGGTGTTTCCCACGTGATTTGGACTGCAACTCTCACAGTTAGAGATGGGCACAAATTAAAAAACGAATCACCAAATTTGCTCAAAAATCACTAATTCGCCCGTGACGACTCATGAATCAATAAAAGTTTAGTGATTTTTTTTATTTGTCAATTCATTTAGCTATATGAGAGGGGGGCCTGGCCACCTAGAGACACCAAATTTGCAGGGAGGCTTCCTCTGACTCTTCTCTACATTCCCTCCAGGTTTGATGAAGACTGGGTTTCCCCAAGCCAGCTGCTAAAGGGCTTTCCTGGGGGGATTCACTTTGTAGGTGTATAACTTGGATGTCTGAAACCCAGTCTTCAGCAAACTAGGAGAGATTGTAGAGATTCAGTAAAAGCTTCTCCGTGATCTTGGTGTCTCTGGGTGCCTTGGGGAACTTTCGGGGGGGGCTACTTGTGGTTGTATAACTTGAATATTTGAAACCCAAACTTCACCAAATATGCAGGGCTTTAGAGGAGAGTCAGGGGAAGTTTCCCAGAAAATGTGGTGTATCTAGGTGCTTTGGGGCCGTTTTATAGGGTTTTAAATAGAGACAAGAGAAAAGCCTTCTTTGCTTGCTGCTCTACAGAAGCCCTGCAGGAGGCATAGTTAAAATGAACTGCCTAACAAGCGGTAACAAGGGTTTCCTCCTCCTCCTCTCTCTTATGTGTTTAGGTGCGCTAGCATATCAGAGCTAGTACTTACTCTGTAAGTTCAAGTGATCACTTGCCTGAACCAATATGAATTGATCTGCTGATTTAAAAATATAGAACCCCCAGCAGTATAGAGAAATAATGGATGCGGGGGGGGGGGCACTCCAGGCTGATTCATGTTTTTCTTTGTATTATATGATCAACGGGGAAAATGTGAATCGGCTTCACCCAAACTTAGAGCTTTTTCTATATTTTTTCCAGGGTAGTAGCATTCTTGATCAATTAGATTTTAGCTTGTTTTTTAAAGGGGGTCTGGATCTATAAACAGATTCAATCCCTACTAAATTATTGCTAATGAAGTTTACTAGAGCTTCTCTTTCATTGTATCCATCATTCAGAATTCTATAAAATGCTGCTATGTTCTTCTATAGTCTTATTATTACTGTAAACACTCTACTATACACCTTTCAGCTATTTTTGTTTGAGCATTCTTCATTTTAGTTCCCCTGATTCATACTTTGCTTGTTTGTTCACTGTCTTTCTCCCCACAGGGGACCCTAGGTGACCCACAACCATAAAAACCATACAGTGATAACAAGTTTAAAATGCCATACAAAACTATGCATTAAAAAACAAAAATTAGTCAAGATAAAAACAAAATTGGAGACATTTTTTTAAAAAAATTGAAAATATCTAAATTTCAAAAATAGAACATTCCCAGGCATTTCTCACTTAATAGCCTGCCTGAAAAGGAAGGTTTTTGTCTGATGGTGAAATAAAAAGCGGAAGACGGCCAATCTGGCTTCTCAGGACACTGCATCCCCTGATAACAAGTTTAAAATGCCATACAAAACTATGCATTAAAAAACAAAAATTAGTCAAGATAAAAACAAAATTGAAGATATTTTAAAAAAATTAAAATATCTAAATTTCAAATATAGAACATTCCCAGGCATTTCTCACTTAATAGCCTGCCTGAAAAGGAAGGTTTTTGTCTGATGGTGAAATAAAAAGCGGAAGACGGCCAATCTGGCTTCTCAGGACACTGCATCCCCTGCATCCCTGGGAGCAGCCACTGAGAAGGCTCTCTCTTGTATCTTCACCAAACATGCTTGAGAAGGAACTCGGGGAAGGACCTCTCCAGAAGATCTTAAAAGTCTCGTAGTCTCATATGAGGTGATAATGATCCTTTAAAAACTACTGCTATCCTTTTCTCTACTCCAAGAGTCATTTGTGGTCCAAGGAAGAGTGGAGGTGCCTGTGAACATCTACTGTATGTAGTGTCCTTTTGGAGATCTGTTCAATATCTCAGCAGTGGACACACACACACACCCTTCATTCAAGAGAGTTCAGTGGGTTTCAATGGAGCAACTTCTTCCCATTGTAAACTAGCCCACAGCCCATTGCCAAAATTCCATTTTGGATTGAACATAACATGCTGGATAGCTCAGTAGCTTAGGTCACTGGCTACAGAGCCAGAAGTTGGAAGTTCAGTTCCCCACTGTGCCTCTTTGAGAGGAGCTGGACTTGATGATCCATAGAGTCCCTTCCAGCTCTGTAGTTCAAAGGTTCAAAGGTTATTTCTAGCCAAAAGTGGGATCTTCTGTCCTTCGGCTTCCAATTTCTTACCATTTTCACTCCTGTTGTCTTTCTTTTTAAGACTAGACACCAATGAGAGAGGTTCTTTCCCCAGCACAGCAGTGCTAAAGAGTTATCAAACTAACGAACTACAGTACATGGACAGCCACTTCATGCAGCTAATTGTAGTGACAGAAAAGGGCAGAAGAGTGTCAGAGATTTTTTAAAAGGAGGAGGAGGTGGAAGAGGATGACGAGGTCAACAATTATCACTGTGTAAA